TAGGCTAAATTTTTCTTAATATCTTTTTGAGCAATAGCGAAAGTAGCTCCTAATACTACTGTTATTATACCTATCAAAGCTATTCCAGTCATTATGGAGGGTATAACTATGAAAAGAGGAAGAAGTCGAGCTACAAGAAAAATTCCCGTTGCTACCATAGTCGCAGCATGTATAAGAGCAGAAATAGGAGTAGGACCTTCCATAGCATCTGGTAACCATACATGAAGAGGGAATTGGGCAGATTTTGCAACGGATCCTCAAAATAACAAGAGGGCACACAAAGTAACAAAAATAATATTTACCTCATTCTTATAAATTAAGTTATTGAATATTAGAAATAAATCCCTAAATTCCAAACTACCGGTTATCCAATAAAAACCTAAAATTCCTAATAAGAAACCAAAGTCCCCTACACGATTCGTTACAAACGCTTTTTGACAAGCATTTGCCGCAATAGGACGTGTGAGCCAAAAACCTATTAATAGATAAGAACACATTCCAACCAATTCCCAAAAAATATAAACTTGTATCAAATTGGAACTAGTAACTAATCCTAACATTGAAGTATTAAAAAAACTCATATAAGTAAAAAATCTCAAATAGCCTTGATCATGAGACATGTAACTATCACTATAAATTAGAACCAGAATACCAACAGTAGTTATTAATATTGACATAATAGAACTAAGTGAATCGATCAAGTAGCCAAACTCTAAAGAAAGATCATTATTTATAGTCCAAGACCATACATATTGATAGATAGAACGATTCTCGATTTGATGAATCGATAAATTGATCGAAAAAATCATAACTATGGTTAACAATAAAATACTAGGAAAAGCCCACATACGGCGAATATTTTTTGTTCCCGTGGGAAAAAGTAGAAGTCCTACCCCTATTAAAATAGGAATTGGAAGAGGGATGAAAGGTATGATCCATGAAGATTGATGTGTATATTCCATACAAAAAAAAGAATAAAAAATATTTAGATTCTTTATGAATTTTGTTTCTTATTCGTTTGTTTTATCTCTTTTGTTTGTAAAGGGGTTCTGTTAATAAAAAAGTGGATATAGAAATAGAATTGGATATTCTTAATTGTTCTGAATCTTTGCACAATACAATGGTTGGTCCCAATATTGGAAAGTACAAAGTGAAAACCGGCCAATAAGAAAATTCCTAGTGAAAAAAAAGAGTATTTAAAGTAATATATTCATGAATCATCAATATTATCTATGAAAAATTTGGAAAAGGTTTATAATATTCAATGTTTTTACTTTACCTTTTGATCGAAAAAAAGAAAGAAAGAGGGAATTCCGATAGATAAGACATACGGCTAATTGCAGAATAATTCGTGTTCATTTACAAAACAAATGTCTTTCACATCAAACTATAGCAACGAAAAAACTATACTACTTGTATGCCAGTTCCCAAAAAACGCACTTCTATATCAAAAAAAAAAATTCGTAAGAATTTTTGGAAAAAAAAAGGATATACGGCATCATTGAAAGCCTTTTCATTAGCTGAATCTATTTTTACAGATAACTCAAAAAGTTTTCAAATAAAAATGTTGGACTGGAATACTATGAATTAGCTCTATTCAAAGAGTATTGTTTAATAGTAATTTTATACTAATTAATACTATTATGGAAGAGTAAACATCTATTTAGAATATATTAAATATTATTCTAGAATATATTCTATATTCTAATCATAATAGATATCTTTTCAACATAGGTCATCGAAAGGATCTCAAAGACCCACCAAAGCACGAAAGCCGGGATTTTTCACAAAATAGATTCCTATTCAAAGAGAGCATAACCGCATGGATAAGCTCACACTAACCCGTCAATTTAAGATCCAATTCGGTATTTTCTTTGGGAAATATTGGGAAGGAATTGGAATGTAATAATATGGATTCATACAAAAAAAAAAGGTTTTCTATTGATTGAAACAGTTGATTAGAAGATCATAATTGGATCCACATATGTTTGGTAAAGGCAAAAAGAATAATTTTCTCCTTTGAGAATAAAAAAACGAAAGTGTTCAATTCAAACATGAAAACATGGCTGACTTCATTCGTTCTCGTTATTTTGTTGGGTTTGGGGGAAGAAGTGGAGATTATCGAACGAGGATAAAGGATCTAATTACGTCGAAAGAATTGAACGAGGAGCCGTATGCGGTGAAAATCTCATGTACGGTTCTGTAGAGTGGCAGTAAGGATGACTTATCTGTCAATTTTGACACTATTAACCCGAAAAAACCAAACTCTGCGTTACGTAAAGCTGCCAGAGTACGCTTAACCTCAGGATTTGTAATTACTGCTTATATACCTGGTATTGCCCATAATTTACAAGAACATTCTGTAGTCTTAGTAAGAGGGGGAAGGGTTAAGGATTTACCTGGTGTGAGATATCACATTGTTCGAGGACCCCTAGATGCTGGCGGAGTAAGGGATCGTCAACAAGGGCGTTCAAAATATGGAGCCAAAAAGCCAAAATAAATTATTATTTTAGCCCCATAAGTTAAGTTATAAAAAAATGGATTATTAAGCTCATGTCACGACGAGGTACTGCAGAAAAGAAAATCGAAAAATCCGATCCAATTTATCGTAATCGAGTAGTTAACAGGTTGATTAACCATATTATGAAACACGGAAAAAAATTATTGGCTTATCGAATTTTCTATCGAGCTATGAAAAGGATTCAACAAAAGACAGAAAAAAATCCACTATCCGTTTTACGTGAAGCAATACTTCAGGTAACTCCCAAGATAGTAGTAAAAGCGAGACGCGTGAGCGGATCGACTCATCAAGTTCCCATTGAAATAAAAAAGCCACAAGGAAGAGCACTTGCCATTCGTTGGTTAGTAGCGGCATCTCGAAAACGTCCGGGTCGAAATATGGCTTTCAAATTTAGTTCCGAATTAGTGGATGCTGTCAAGGGGCGTGGTGATGCCATACGCAAAAAGGAAGAGATTCAGAAAATGGCGGAAGCAAATAGAACTCGTGCACCTTTTCGTTAATCCATGAACAGGATCTATGGTCCATATACACACATGGACCTAAGGATCCATACATCAAAGGGTATTTTTTTGGAGATTCCATGTACTAATTCATGATTTGACATGTACAGAATGAAAATCTCATTCTCGAGTCTACGAGAATTTTTATGAAAGCCTTTCATTTGCTTATTTTCGATGGAAGTTTTCTTTTTCCGGAATTAATTCTAATTTTGGGCCTAATTCTTCTTCTGATGATCGATTCCACTTCGGATCAAAAAGAGATATCTTGGTTCTATTTTTTCTCTTCAACAAGTTTAGTAATGAGCATAATGGCGCTGTTGTTCCGATGGAGAGAAGAACCCATGATTCGTTTTTCGGGAAATTTCCAAACAAACAATTTTAACGAAATCTTTCAATTTCTTATTTTACTATCTTCAACTCTATGTATTCCTCTATCCGTAAAGTACATTGAATGTACAGAAATGGCTATAACAGAGTTTCTGTTATTTATATTAACCGCTACTCTAGGAGGAATGTTTTTATGCAGCGCTAACGATTTAATAACTATCTTTGTAGCTCTAGAATGTTTCAGTTTATGCTCCTATCTACTATCTGGATATACCAAGAAAGATGTAAGGTCTAATGAGGCTACTATGAAATATTTACTCATGGGTGGGACAAGCTCTTCTATTCTGGTTCATGGTTTTTCTTGGCTATATGGTTCATCCGGGGGAGAAATGGAGCTTCAAGAAATAGTAAATGGTCTTATCAATACACAAATGTATAACTCTCCGGGAATTTCAATTGCGCTTATATTCATCACTGTAGGAATTGGGTTCAAGCTTTCCCCAGCCCCTTCTCATCAATGGACTCCTGACGTATATGAAGGAGTGTGGTTCGTTCGAGAAATTCTGACCGACTTCTCTATTTCTTTCTGAGATGTTTGGATTTTTCAAAACTCTATGGACATGCAGAAGAGATATGTTATTCCCACTCGGACCAAGACATAACTTTACTTGTTAAAATAACAATTAAGGTGAAGCAGAGTCAGGAACAACGAATCCCTTTATGAGAAAAAGATTCTTTTTGCAAGTTGGTTATTAGGGGTAGTTCCTACAAAGAATCATACTAAATGACGTATACAATACTTGAATTGTCGATGTAGATGCTACATAGTTGGTTCTCATCCTTCAGAGACTACGAGTATAATAGGAACATCCGTCAACAAAAGGATCACCCTAAGATGATCATCTCGTGGCTATTGAGAACGAATTAAATCAGATGGTTCTATTTCTCAATCTTTTTTTTCGACCTAGGTTCTGTAGGAGCAACTCATAAAGATTGAGAAAAATCCGTCATTCACAACCACTGATGAAGGATTCCTCGAAAAGTTCAGGATTACGAATCCTTTTTTGTTTGATGAAAAGTCCAAATACAATGGATTCGGTCTTATACATACGCGTGGAAGGAAATACTAAAAGAAAGAAGAAACAATCTTCTTCTTTCTTTTATCACTTAGGAGCCGTCCGAGATGAAAGTCTCATGCACGGTTTTGAATGAGAGAAAGAAGTGAGGAATCCTCTTTTCGACTCTGCCTCTCCCACTCCAACCGTTGCTTTTCTTTCTGTTACTTCGAAAGTAGCTGCTTCAGCTTCAGCCACTCGAATTTTGGATATTTCTTTTTATTTCTCATCAAACCAATGGCATCTTCTTCTAGAAATCCTAGCTATTCTTAGCATGGTATTAGGGAATCTCATTGCTATTACGCAAACAAGCATGAAACGTATGCTTGCCTATTCGTCCATAGGTCAAATCGGATATGTAATTATTGGAATAATTGTTGGAGACTCAAATGGTGGATATGCAAGCATGATAACTTATATGTTGTTCTATATCTCCATGAATCTAGGAACTTTTGCTTGCATTGTGTTATTTAGTCTACGTACCGGAACTGATAACATTCGAGATTATGCAGGATTATACACGAAAGATCCTTTTTTGGCTCTCTCTTTAGCCCTATGTCTCTTATCCTTAGCAGGTCTTCCTCCACTAGCTAGTTTTTTCGGAAAACTTTCTTTATTCTGGTGTGGATGGAAAGCAGGCCGATATTTCTTGGTTTCAATAGGACTTCTTACAAGCGTTGTTTCGATCTACTATTATCTAAAAATAATTAAGTTATTAATGACTGGACGAAACCAAGAAATAACTCCTCACGTGCGAAATTATAGAAGATCTCCTGTAACATCAAATAATTCCATTGAAGTGAGTATGATTTTATGTGTGATAGCATCTACTATACTAGGAATATCAATGAACCCCATTATTAAAATGGCTCAGGATACTCTTTTTTAGCTTCTACAATTGATTGACCTCTTATATTACTAACTGAAATGAAAGAATTAGTGGATCTGTTCCACCAAAAATGGGAATGGGCTAAGGTTATGAACTTATAATTTATATATAATCTGATGAGCGAATCAATTCCATGATTCTAAGTTCATTCCATTTCGGATTAAAATGGAATAAGGAAGTTTTGTTTTTTACATATCTATCATTATTTGTGACCTTATATCAACCCTGATTACTCCTTTTAGCTTCGATTGAATCGAGAAATGAAATAGGTTTGATTGTCCCTTTCTTTATTTTGTTTGTAAATAAAAGAATATAAAATAAAAAGACATAGAATAATCAGAATTTTATTAAAAAAGTAAAGAAAACGCAAAATTAGAAAACCTATAGTAACATATACTATAATAGTAATATATGAAACATCGAAATCACAATTCTAGATTAAAGAAACTTCAAACTAATTGGATAAATGGAAGACATTTTTAATAGTAACATATAATAGTAACATATAAAATAATAAAAAATATAAAATAAACATCGAAATAACAATTGTAAATAAAAACAAACTTAAAAGGGGGATAACTATGACTTTTAACTTTTTTATACGAAATTCCTTAGTGGGTTTCTGCCTTAGGATACTGAATTCAACCGTTGTGATCGGACTCTATTATGGATTTCTTACTACAGCCTGCATAGGACCGTCTTATCTCTTCCTTATTCGAGCCCGGGTTATGGAAAAAGGTTCCGAGACGGAAATAGCAGCAACAAGCGGGTTTCTTACGGGACGCGTCATGATGTTCATATCGATCTATTATGCGCCTTTGCATTTGGCATTGAATCGACCTCATACACTAGCATTCTTAACTCTGCCATATCTTTTCTGTAATTATGTCTATCAAAATAACAAACATTACTATTCAGACGATTGGGGTTAGGCATACTACCCGGAGGATTCTGGAGACAACAATCCAAATTCAATACGTAATTTTAGGACTTACAAAGTATTCTTTAACAATCTTTTTTTTTCAATTATTAAACCCCCTTCTTTTCCCAAGTTCAATCTTAATAAGATTAATGAACATTTATCTGTTTCGATCCAACAATAAATTGTTATTCTTAACAAGTAGTTTTGTTGGGTGGGTAATTGGTCACATCTTTTTAATGCAATGTGTTGGATTGGTATTAGTCTGGTTCAAGAAAAAAAATTCTATCAAATCTAAGATAACGATGAGATTTGATAAATACATTCTCCTACAATTACGAAATTATGCGGGGCAAATATTTGCCGTTTTCGCCTTTGCAATTTTTGCGCACTATTCAGGCAGAGCAATGATCCCTTATTTTTATGGTGAGGAAATGGAAGGCTACGACGAGAGGTACTCGGAGGAAATCCAAGTTGCAATAGATGCGGAAAGGGAAGAAAATAACGAAGAAGATCTGATGGTTTATTTTTCCGAGAATGAGAAGACTTCCAACAACACGAATATTCAGAAAAAGACAAAAATTGTCCCCCCGGTGGCGGAAAGAGGTCTTGTAAATATTCTTTTCGATTTTCAAAGATGGACTAGGCCTTTGCGATATATAAAAAATGATCACTTCGAGCGGGTTGTAAGAGATGAAAATTCACAATTTTTTTTCAAACATGTCAAAGTGATGGAAAAAAACGAATATCTTTCACGTATCCACCTCATTTATCTACTTTTCTGAACATCATGGAAAAAAATGGATCTCTTCAGAACAGAGAAAACCTCCAATAATGAGAATGAATTTTATAATTCTTGGATCTCCCGTAATAAAGAAAAAAAAAATCAACTAAGCAAGGAATTATTTCAAAGGGCAAAAATTCTAGATAAGAAAGTTAAGAAAGGTAAGAAATTTAATCTTGTGGATGTATTAGAAAATCGAGTTCGATTATCGGATGATAGGGGTCGAAAAAAATACTTACCTAAAATATATGATCCTTTCTTGAATGGACTCGCTCGTGGAGAAATCCAAAAAAGCGTTTCTAAAAAGAAAACTTTTGACTCAAACTCCATATTGATAAATAGGATTCATGGTCTCCTTCTTTGTATGAATACCAATTCTCCAGAATTGGAACAGAAAATAGATAAATTGGATAGAAAATTAGTATTCACTGAAATGGGTTTTTAT